CTAAACGCCGAAGGCGCACGGAACGCTGTTATCTTCCCACCAAAGGTGTTCTCTATTTTTCTACTTGCTATTGCTATTGCTACATGGTGGCTCAGTGGCTAAGACGCTGAGCTTGTCAATCAGAAGGTTGGCAGTTTCCACAATTCGAATCCCTAGTGCTTCTTAACGGAGTGAGCTCCTGTTACTTGTCCCAGCTTCTACCAACCTAGCAGTTCGAAAGCACATAAAAATGCAAGTAGAATAATAGAGAACACCTTTGGTGGGAAGATAACAGCGTTCCGCGTGCCTACGGCGTGTAGTCATGCCGGCCGCATGACCATGGAGACAACTTTGGACAGCGCTGGCTCTTCAGCTTTGAAACTGAGATGGGAACCGCCCCCTAGAGTAGGGAACGATTAGCACATATGTGCGAGGGGAACCTTTACCTTTTCTTACAACCTTTCTTACCACAGTAATGCAAGTAGAAAAATAGAGAACACCTTTGGTGGGAAGATAACAGCGTTCCGTGCGCCTTCGGCGTTTAGTCATGCCGGCCGCATGACCATGGAGACAACTTTGGACAGCGCTGGCTCTTCAGCTTTGAAACTGAGATGGGAACCGCCCCCTAGAGTAGGGAACGATTAGCACATATGTGCGAGGGGAACCTTTACCTTTTCTTACAACCTTTCTTACCACAGTAATGCAAGTAGAAAAATAGGAACCCCTTTGGTGGGAAGGTAACAGCCTCCCGGCGTTGAGTCATGCCGGCCACATGACCATGGAGACGTCTTCTGACAGCGCTGGCTCTTCGGCTTTGAAACGGAGATGAGCGCCTCCTCCTAGAGTCAGGAACGACTAGCACATATGTGCGATGGGAACCTTTATCTTTACCTATGAGCGGATATCTTTACAAGAAAGGGACAATGAATTTGGAGTGAACAAGAGAAAGAAAAGGATACCTGAGTTATCTTGGCATTCAGCTCTTTTCCAGTTGAGCAAGAGTAGGCAGCATTTTAGCCTTTCACCTCCCAAAGGGACCTCATGGTGAAGGGATGGCCTTATCAGAAAAGGCATATGTGGGGAATTTAGGGCTTCCTTTGTTCCATTTGGGGTGTGGCATTTTTGTCAACTAATTTTTCCCTGAGTAAAATAGGTGTGTTGAGTCAATTGAAAGTTTAAAGCTCCTGTTTTACTACTTTCACACTCCAAAATGGGGAAACCATTCATTCTAACTTGGACAGCATGATTTAAAGACTCTGGGGATGAGGTATCCCCTGCAGGGATTCAATTAACACTTCGGGTCAACGGGAAAGGCCGTGTTGGAAGGCAACTGGTCAGACGTATTTATTTTTTGACTTAGATGAAGTCTCTCCCCAGCTGATTTCCTCTGTTTAATCTCAGAATATATTCTCACCCATTTCCTCTTTCATTCCAGGTGGCTACTGGACTCCTTACAAAAAGTTTCCAGCATGTTCACTGTCCCAAGCTTTGATGCATTTCCTTGATGTCACCTCTCCTCCTTCCCAGCAGTTGCTAAGATCATTTTCCCAGCTGGCAGAAGATAAAAGTGAGAAGGAAAGGCTGAATCTCTTGTGTCATGTGAGTTCGAGACCAGTTACGGGCAGGGAGAGAAACTTTTGCTTATAGAGCATGTCTTGTTTCATCTGCTAGCAGGTGGCCAACCACGGGTGATCGCCAAAAGTTAGGCAAGGTTGGACTCAGTTCTAACGCCAGTTTATAATGACATGGTAAGACCACACTTGGAATATTGCATCCAGTTTTGGTCATCACAATATTAAAAATACTGTATTTTTCGGTGTTTAAGACGCACCTCCCCCCTCCCAAAGAGCGTGAAAATGTTAGTGTGTCGTATAGATTGAATACAGCAATTTTGGCCTCCCAAAGCCCCGCACCTGCTCCCCATTTTTGCAAAAAT